TCTCTTGTCACTCGAGATCCACACATCGTACAATCAGCATCACAGACTTCTCTTTTCAAGTCGTCACACAACATTGATCGCGGCAATCAACACAAACACGACCCGCATCACTTCAAGGAAAGAGCTCACAAGTATGAACGCCTGAATGGGGTCCAAGTCAGCCAAGATCTTCCTCTTTCGATCGGATGAAACCTTTCAAAATTCATGAAAAGTTATCTCTTACGTCGCTCAAGGTCGCTCTTATGCTTTCACCTCACCGTCTTTGGCTTTACATCCGTTCAACATTACCGAAGAAGTCCGTCATCATTGATTGATTTGAAGTGAGGTCGATCAAGCCGGTCAAAGTTTCTTCATTCATGATGTCTCTGCACTCGTATTCATCGGGCTCTTAGAAGCAAGCACTGGCAGTCTCTAGAGAACAAGAGACTCGTGCAGAAGGAGGAAGGGCAAAAGGTGGGGAGGAAGGGCGGAAGCGCAAAACCTAAGGCAAGATTCCACATAAGGTTCGTCAAGAGTCACCGGAGCAGTCCCGTAAGACTTAACGCAAGATTCCACGCAGAGTTCGTTAAGAGTCACCGGAGCGGTCTCAACAGAAGGAAGTGGTGCAAGACTCAACACAGGATGCCACACAGAATTCGTCAAGAGTCAGCGGAGCAGTCTCAATAGAAGAAATGGTGCACTTGATACCAACATTTGTCTTTCTTCTGCCCTCTTTAATCATGCTCCCACCTCACACTTTTTGACTGCTTCTCCTCCGTTCAACGTTGCCGAAGAAGTTCATCATCATATGTTGGGTTGAAGTGAGGTCGATTAAGTCGAGCAAATTCTCTTCTTTCGAGGATGACTCTGCACTCGCATTCACGGAGCTCTTGCAAACGAATACTGGCAGTCGAAGAAGCATCGGTCTTGAGCGCATACCTGTTTGGATGACGGATCAAATGCACTTTATCAAAGAAGCGTTCATCCTGTCCGAGTTGTTGACGTGACGGGAGCAAGATGAGCCAGATCACTTCGTTTCGCAACTTTCCAAACACTCTCCTCCAAACACTTAGAGTGTGATGATGGAGGAGTGAGAAGAGGGAGGAGTGAGAAGAGGGATGAGTGAGAAAAGGGATGAGTGAGAAGAAGGATGAGTGAGAAGAAGGATGAGTGAGAAGAGAGAGGAGTGAGAAGAGGGATGAGTGAGAAGTGACTGCTGGTGGCCTCTTCTCATCCGCATTCAAAAGCCGACCGGATGGAACGTTCAAAAGTCATGAAAAGTCATCTCTTACATCGCTCAAGATCGAATTATGACGTGACAATCGAACAAGTGGCACAACAGAAGAGATGGTACATTTGACATCAACATTTGTCTTTCTCTGCCAGCTTTCTTATGCTTTCACCTCACCCTTTTTGGCTTGACATCCGTTCAACATCACCGAAGAAGTCCGTCATCATTGGTTGATTTAAAGTGAGGTCGATCAAGCCGGTCAAAGTTTCTTCTTTCATGATGTCTCTGCACTCGCATTCATCGGGCCCTTACAAGTAAACACTGGCAGTCTCTGAAGAAGAAGAGAAACGGTGAATGGATCCAGACTGAGGGTGAATGGATCCAGGCTGAGAGCCTTGAGAAAGAGGAAGTGCAGAAAGAGGAGGTGAAGGACTTAACACAAGATGCCATACAGAGTTCATCAATAGAGTCGGCGGAACGGTCCGTCTTGACTTTTTTCCCTCTTCTCAACCGTCATCATACTTCGCTTTATGTTGATCTTATGATATGAAGCAAAAGTGCCTCTCGCGCCACTTTCCACGTTATTAATGTGTTTGTGCACACGGACTTTCGACTTCGGTCATCATTTTCAGTCGTTGGCAGGAAGAAAGTTTGTACGCTAAAAGATGATTAGCGTCTCTCTTCACCGTGCACAGATTTATATGCGAGCATGTCATTTTCGTTTCCGAGAACAGAGAATCACACTTATCTTGCATGTGACATGAAATGCAAAAGACGATGTGAACGAATGTCTCAGATGAATAATTCATAGTTGCTGGTGGCTTTCATTCTTGTTCAAAGAAGAATTCTCTCAACCTTGTGACAATAAGGAAATTGACCATCTTGTGATAATATTTCTCGCCTTTCAGATTGTAACAATGATAAGCCACCGCAATACCCCCCGCTCAAAGAAAAGAAATAGGGACATCAAACTACTTTTCACACAAAGAGGAGGTGTATGTGAAGGAAGATTGTCAGTGTTTTTGCGCAAATCTTTACTAGCCTCTATTGTTTGAAGCTAAGGAAGGAAGAACTTGCATTAGTCTGCCTGATTGCCTTTAGAGACCAAAAATAAACAATAATGCCGCTTGGGCCAAATTGCGCCACTGTTTCTTTCCCCGAAGCGTGGGGACCTGGTCTGCTTGAATAGCGGCACATACAGAAAGAGGTGTTGTTGTTAATCGCGTTCAATTTATGCATTACCTTTCCCAATTTTCCACACTAAACCGGTTTGACTCTTTAATGTATTAAAGAATAGTTTATTTTCTATGCGGGCAAGCCTGTGCACTTTTTGGGTTGTTTCATTTTTGCTTTTTTTGTTCGGGTAAAGTGCCACCGTAAACAAGCCCGCATTTCGAACAAACAAAAATCTTCGCGGGGTTTGGAGACTGTCAAAAGGACAATCAATCAATTGATCAACTGTACATAAAAAAGAAATACATCAATTTGATAAGTCATTTCCATCATCATCCTCATCAAACCATTTCTACTAGGAGGTGAAATGATGAGCACCTCACGACAAAATCCATACATATTGGATACAGTGGACTTAGGCGATACAGATGGATTTGGGGTCGGTCTAGGATTGAATGTGGATCAAGACTCTAAAAGAAGCAGGCCAGGCTCCTCTTCATCTTTTCGTTCCAGCGAACAAAGAAACGTAGAAGCAGTTCAACAAACGCTTGAACCTCTTACCACTGCACGCAATGAAATCAAATCAATCGAAGATCAAGCCTCTTCATCCGGAAGCAATCCTTCTTCTGCCAATCGCCTTTTAGCACTTCCTCCTCCTCCACGACCGAAACGAAGGTCAAGGCATGAACGAACAGTAAGTCATTCAACCGACGGTGAAAAGGATGGAGAAGGAGATTTGGACGTACAAATTGAAGCTGCTCTCAACTATATCTCGCGCCATGGAATGAGTACAAATATGGCTCAACGTGATTCAGTCAATTCAAATAAAACTCGATCACAAAAGCGAATTCATCGAAATGCAGGCCTGATGGGAACATCTACTCAAGAAACAGATCGTTTACGTAGCGATTTCCATAAAGCACTATCCAGGATAGCAGAACAAGCGGAGCACGGAATGGAAAATGGAAAAGAACATGCGGCTTCAGGAAAGGGAAGCTCAACCAATGGAATGTCTCGCGCCCGACAACGATCTGGTTCCATCTTACGTGCTTTCTCAAAAGGAAGGTCGAATTTCTCGTTCGATTCTGCAAAGACAATGCTCGGTACGCCTTCTATGGGTTTCAGTACACCTTCACGCACGACACAGATGACATTTGACGCCTTACCGGAAAACGTTGTAGGGCCAAGTAATCGATTAGGAATGGCAGACTTCGTTGCTTGGTCACCACAAGAAGCATCGGATAAGCGGTTGGGTAGTCCTGACCAAAGGCAAAGAAGTGTTTCAAATGCTACGTCAACATCATCGAATAGAAACAGTCGATATGAAACGCAAGAGAGTCCGATTGCTCTCAAAAGACAAAGTAGCGATCAAAGCCAAATGTCGAGCATGATGGCAGCGCTCAAAGCGGCAAAGGAGGAAGCACGCGAAGCACAAACAACAAAAGCGAAACTGATGACAGAGATGGAACAGATGTCTGAAGAGCTCTTTCTACAAGCGAATGAGATGGTAAAGCAGGAACGAATCAAGAGCTCAGCATTGGAAAAAGAGCTTGAAAGCTTAAAGTTGGCCATGTCCAACGTTGCGACTGGTGCAAACGATGCTGCTGATCCGATCGATTTAACGAATAGTATCGAAGCAGGTGCTCAAAATGATAATGAGGCAATGATGATGGCAGCCGTTGCTGATGCATCAAGAGAGTGTGCTGAAGCGGAAGAAGAGGCGGAGGAATGGCGCAAGCACTGTGAAGAACTAGAATCTCGAATCGTCATTTTGGAAGAAGCATTGTACAATTCGATGGCTCTCTTATCGCAACGCGAAGGCTTAGATGGGCTCGAAGATGAAGAGGCAGAGCAGCAAGAAGCAGACGGACTTGACAAGATACTAGATTCATCAGTACAGAATGAAAGTCTCCACAACGTCAAAGAGCGCGAATCTATCGATGAAACTCCTTCTAGAAACTCTTTGGTCATCCCTCAAAAAGCTTTCTCTGAAAGCACGTCTTCTTTCTACAGTGCGGGTGATCAATCTTCAGTTGGACTACGTTCACCGGAAACAAATACTCTTTCGCCCACTTTGACCGGTCCATCAAACGAAGAAGAAGCTTCTACGGTGGATACACTGTACAGTAAAGCTGAAAATGGAATTCAAAAATCGCTGGCCGATGAAGAAAGTGAAAGACCGAACGGGACGGGAGACGTGCCTGAGTCCAATATTGGTCGGGAGGACAAAGCTTCTTCTCAGCTCGAAGCAGAAAGCGTCCAATCTACTTCTTCCCATCAGTCATCATCTTCCTCGGCTGGCAGAGCTGCGATGTTGCCTCGGTCATCATCAGTGATTGGATCAAGGAGACAATCGCGTCAGACATCTTTACCACCAAGATTGCCTGAGCCAGTTTCCCCATTGCCTAGCATACCAAACGAGCAAAATTGGTTGCCCAAGATTGAGCAAGAGAATGCAGATGGCAATCTTGAAGCGCTTTCGACGCATCTTTTGTCTGCCCGTTTAAGCGATGCTACAACCACTTCACGATCTTCTTCTAACTTGAAGCACGAAAACGATTTTAATCAATTCAGCAGCAATGATGACATACAAATAGTTCAGGATGATTGGCATAAACCTTTGGTAAAGGTGAACGGCAGCGAGACTTTCAGAAGCGAAGGTATCAAGACCGAACCTATCGGACAACTTCCAAAGTTTGAATCGTGCCCGCAATTTGGTGAAATCGGGAAGAATAGAAGATCACACAGCTCCCTTACGCCACAAGTTTACAGTCCTTCGATAGATGAATCGGATGACTTTGACAGGGAAAGTCATGAAACCAGTAGAGCACGGAGTTATATTGCTCCGAGCTCAAGACCTTCAATTAAAACTACTGAAAGTGCAAAAAAGAAATCACTCAAACGCAACATTCTGAAGAATATGCCGCCTGCAGCACCAACGGGACGAAAAGGGTCCAACTCAATCGGTGATGGGTCTATTGCGTCTGTCAGCTTGTATAGCGGCATTTCTTCCCCCTCGATGGAAAGTGAATTGAAGAAAAGAAATTCAAATCATGATGAAAATCAGCAAAACAGCAAGATTCGTGAACATTATGCAAAAATGCATCAAACATCTCCAGGCTTGCAGGATGATGCCAAGAAAAAGCAATCTTTCGCGCGTAGAAAGAGATTCAACTAATTTCCCATACGGTAAGCCATTCTGGGAGATGATAGATTAGGGAATAGAGTACAGCATGTCACTTTTTTGAATATTTGTGTGATCTCTTTGAGGTATACAGCATGCCGTCCTTACCAATTGTATTTTTATAATCACATCACATTCGACCGAATTTATGCAGGTACCCCAATATTAAGATGAAAGGCACGATCTGAGTGTGTGATTGAAGAAAGGTAAAGAATATTTTTCTGGACACAGCTAAAGTGCCTACGTGTTTATCCTCTATTGTGCGCCGAAACATTGACAGGCATCGGCGGGGGCTTTTATGCATAGAAATATGTTCTAGAATTTAAACTCTTTTCCAGAAGGAAATCCTCTTCTCTCTCTCTCCCTCTCTTCCATCCGCATTCATTTATGTTTCATCCATCTTCTACTACCTTTATCAAACCACCAATACCGTAAACCTTTCAAGGTTGCTTGAACACAGTTCATCATGGCGCCTGCTTCCGTGCAGGTGGCCTGTATGGAACCTGTAATTTACTTACGTGGTCAATCTGCTGTAGGTGAAGATGCTCGTGGTAGAAGACGTCAAATCGATTTCGATGCTCCACCTTCACAACTTCGTGGACTTGTAACTTTGTATTTGCCACGTCCAAGTCGTATAAAAGAGATCACCATCACATTACAGGGCAAATCAAGAACAGATTGGCCAGAAGGTATTGGACCAAATCGATTAGATACGGTAGAGGAATCAATCATCTTTTCACAAAAGGTAATCCTGTTCACTTCGCGTGATGCACAATCTCCTCATCGTACAAGAAGACGTGCTTCTAGTGTTGGACCAGGCATTAATTGGACAAAAGATGAAATCGAACGTAGGGCAAAGGATTCAACTACCGCACCTTCTTCTACAACTCCATCTCCTTTGGTTTCTCCCGCTCTTATCCCTTCTCCGCCTGCCACTAGCGATGATCCGTCAAATGGAGGTAGAGAATTCCCAAAAGGTACATTCAATTATCCATTCTCTATTCCGTTGCCGTCCAATTTACCTCCAACCTTACATGCAGACTTTGGCTCGAATGCTTACTCTATTCGCGCTCACGTTCATCGTGCAGGGCCGCTAACGTCTAACCTTTCAAGTGAGATGGAGGTCACGCTCGTTCATGCTCCTGATGAGAATGGATCGGAAGAAGTAGAATCAATTGTGGTCGAGAGGAACTGGGAAGATGCTCTGCGATACATGATTGTGGTTATGGGTAAATCGTTTCCCGTTGGAGGAAAGATACCCATTTGGGCCAAATTCGTACCGATGGAAAAAGTTCGAATCCATCGAATCTTTGCCACCTTGGAAGAAAGGACAGCATACTATGCAAAAGGTCGTCGAGTGGCTCGACATGAAGTTCCAAGGAGGTGGACGTTATTGAAAATCTTACCCGTCTCCGACACACCTTCATTCAAAAGTCCTTCATCAAATAATAAAGGTATCTTGCCAATCTTGTCGGAGAACACCAATGCGATCATGGATAGCCCTTTAGCCAATATGACACGAGCTGCGGCTGCAGCCTATTCTGGAGCAGTTGGATCAGCAGAAAAGGAGGAAGCGATGTCGTTTGCTTTAGCCTCTCTTGCTGATCCATCAGGTCCATGGGAATTTGCAATGGAACTTGAAGTGCCAACAGGAACGTCTACGAGGATCAACATTAGCTCAAATCACCTCAAAAGCAATATTGCCGTTCATCATATCGTTCGGCTGTCTATTCGTGTGGAACGACTGGATGCATATGGATCAGCCAGTGCGGAATCCATACCTGAATCTCAAAGAAAGCTATATGACATTTTGATCGAAGCGCCTGTAGCAATCAATCATAGTCATACGGCAAACGCATGGCTCACTTTACCGGATTATTGGAGCGTTCCACCACCACCGCCAAATGAAGAAGAAGAAGAACAACAACAATCTAACAATTCTTCCAATAGGTCTTCAACGATTTCCAATGCAGCGCAAGCCCGTCCAACTTCCTCGAATGGGAAGAAAAGCGAAGCCAGATTGGAGATCGAAAGACGAATTCTGCGAAACGCTTTGCAATCTGTGCGCAATACATCGGCTGCAGCCGCAGCTTTGACTAATACACAAGATGCAAATGGCACAAAGCATTCACCATTACAAAAACAAAAGAATAAACAGAAGCAACAATCTCCTTCCAATTCCAACGGTCAACGCGATACGAACGGACAACGTCTAGCTCGTTTGAGTCGTCAATGGCTTTCTTTGACTGCTTCTGGAAGTAACAATACTGTTGCAAGCGGTAGTACTGGCAGTAATGGTGGCAGTCCCCAAGAATCGCCGACAGCATTCAGTCATTTGGCTGCAAGAGCATCTAGTCTTCCTCCACGTTCAGCTCAAATGACTGTTACATATGGCGGCCCATATTTTGGCGATGTGGAAACTCGTTTGGAGGGAGATACAGGTTTACCGCCAACGTATGCAATGATTGATGGCGCAAGAGGAAGTATAGATTTGCCGCCCAATCAACGTTCTCGACCAGACGGTAAATGATTCAATCATTTTATGGTCATCCCCCCTTTCATGCTGGAACCAATGCTTATCATGTGCTCCGTTCCCTTTCATTGTAATATACAACAATACGATGCCATCTTTGTTCAGATAATACTATGAGATTATTCATTTTATAGTCTAAAGCTGAGAGTAGAATACAGATGACAGAGAACGACCTGGAAGAGCTGATGCCATCCTTGAGAGACAGAAGGGCATTTGCTTGTGCTTGTGTTTAAAGGTAGGTAGAAAATACATAGATAGAAGACGAATGATGGAAGAGATTGTGGAGAGAGAAATGAATCTAGAAAGCGTAACCGATAATGTGAACATCAGAAGAAGGACTTTGAATAGTGTCATCAAGAGAAATTTGTTCAACTTGAATGGCTGCATCTGTATTGATGGTTGTATTATCTTGATCATCTTCCGATTTGTTCATTTCGTTCGGTGTTGTGCTTGTGCTTAAGTACATTGATGCTTTTGACATCCTCTTTGGCGTTTCGTAGGATGAACGTGAAACCGTTTGATAAGAATCAAAAGAAGTTTCACTAAATTGTGCAGATGCAACGGATTGATAGGATAATCCTTTTTCTTCACGTATTTGTGCTTTTTCCTGCTTTTCCTCTGGAAAGGTATCTGTTACCTTTTTGGGAGTAATTGTGTTGGCCGCGGAGGGAACGATTGTGCTTGATGGAACTTTGACTTGAGAGGCGGGAACCTCTTCTTTTGCGCCGTGAGAAAGATCTGTAGCATGATCTGTGCTTGAATCAACTTTTGAGATTGGAGGAGTAGATGCAGCAGCACTTTCACCAGCGGAGGGTGAGAAAGGAATGACCGGTAATGGTGTGGTCGGAGGTGGACAAGGAGGAGGAGACAGCAAAGCTGCTTTACTACGACGCATTCGAAGCGTCATCTTTGCGGCCGGATTTCCACTTGTTCTCATCGTAGGAGAAAAGATTGAACCATCTGTCATTAAATTTGCAGGAGTGGCTGAAGCGGGTGAAAAGGCAGATTTTACCATTGAAGCCGGATTGGATGGATTGATATGCAAAGGCGGCTTTTGTCTCCTTTCACGAAGCGGTGATCTTTGCTTAGAGCTAATCATGCTTTTGGCAGAACTTTCAATCTCGTCCAATTGAAGCATCGTTTTTCCCAAACAGAGGCCAAGTGAATTCTGTTCATCTTGAACACGTTTACTAGATGGTTTACGGTTAATGTCCACTACACTATCGCTATGTGCTCGTGCAAAAGTTGATCGCAAAGAAGGTAAAGATCGTGCTGGTCGAGGTGCTTTTGTTGTGTTGTGCATTGGCAATGACGAGATTGGCAATTGAGATGATCGAAGTTGATGTGCATCAGAAGAAGAAGAACAAGATGCTGAAGAAGCCGAAGCGGAAGAGTGAGAAGGTGAATAAAGAGGCATGTTCTTTGTCGATGAAACGAAACCCTTTGTCGATTGCCTCTTGCCGGTGGGCATCTTTGTTGTTGTTGGAAAGGGGACTGGTGATGTTGTCATGATGGGAAGCAGAGTATGATCCAATAAAGTGGCCATATCAAGCGAATCTTCATCATGATCCTGGAACAGCATACATGCCGGGTGATCGAGCGGAGTGGAAACCTCAAAAGGCATTTGATTAGGACTGTCTGCGTTCGTTCCGATTGATAAAACAGGACTTTGGACAGGAAGATCGGCAATTCCACAACATCCAAATTCATCAGATTCATTTGTCGGTCTAATGGCTTTTCTGAACACTCTTGGATTCCAGTCAAGACTCTTTCTTGAGGGGACGGCATCGTCATCCTTTTCGATCCCATTGAGCTGTGATGCTGTCTTGCGAGAATATTGGAATGGTAGTGAAGGTATGCGATCGTTTAGACTTTGTTGCTGTAATGATTTCTTGGAAGATTTTTTTGAAAGTTTCTTGCTGGCTTTTGTATTGGAAGTATTGTCGGAGAAGAATGAAAGTGAGAATGAATGGGCTCGCATCCTGGTCTTGCGTGAGCCATTATTGATCAACTTTTCATCGGCAGAATCCATTGTTGATACACAAGTTCTGCTCGAATTTGAAAAAGGTAGATCTTTGTTATTATGAAGATGAGAAAAGTATTATCATGGATAGTTGCTTGTTTGACGGTGAGAAGATGAAACTTTTTAATGATGGTGACCGTTGACAGAATTGGAAGAGAAGGTAGGCTTTGTTGAGATAAAAATAAAGAGAAAATGTCAATACGACTACGGTGTCTAAGTCAGTTTTACCTGCATACGATCGACAAGGGCATGTTTTCTGTGCCAGTTTGAGGAACGGTAGAAAAAGTGTGCATAATACAAACACCATGAACCGATTCAACTCCCCTCTCTGTTTGTGCCTTCCCGATCGATAAATTAAATTTCTCCTCGCTCGAAATCAAAACATTGCTTCTTTCTCATGTAGAAACAACAACCTTACAATGAAACCCTCTCACCCATATCGGAGCTAAAAATAAGATCCGTAAAAATGGGGACCCAATTAAAACCAAAAAATTAGAGCAAGTTAAAGACCAAAAGTCCACATTCGATTGCTTAATTTCGAATGTCAGGATGACAAAGGTGGCTTTCCTGCAAAATCATCAAAATTCGTTGGATGCCGTACCTGAAAAGATGATGGAGAAAGGGAATCTCAATGCACAATCATCATTCCAACGCGTTATATCATTTTTACTTTGATTGCCTTTCTCCCCCTTTCGGTGAGGCACACTAACCAACAACGCGTCAAGCTCCCGGATGCGCTGCGCAGCGCTGTGCAGTACGCGCTTTAACGTGTCTCGGGCATGTTACCTTTTTTTGTGTGTCTTTTAGCTTACAACCATTCTAGAAGCGTAAAGTAAGGTCTTTGGCATGAGTGCCGTTGTGCCTGATAATCACCTTGTTAATACTATTTGCCGATGTGCAAAACCCGTTCTTTAGTCATTCATACCATATCTCTTCGCCTATTGTATGAATTTGTATGTTTATCAAACTTAAAGCTCAGACAAATCTTATATAATGTTAAAGACATGGGAATATTCATAATGCGAGGCTATACCAAACATTTATTCTCCGCTTCATTTTAAAGCTAATCGTAACAGAACAATGCGAAGATCTATTACTAATTTTGGCAAGATGAATTCGCTCCTGACTCTAACAGACAGAGATGTTATCAAGCTCTTGAATATTTGCTGTTTCTTCGTCTTCATTAATGTGCATGTACAGACAAGCAATCTCTTAATTTATCTTTAGAGTCGTTTAACCAGATAGACTTACTGTGTGGTACCAAAAAAAGGCCAAGAATTGCTCTGTCTCTAAATATAGCTCTCGGCTCTCTTTCTTTGCTAAGAAGCGATGATATGAAGATAGAGTCTGACCTACTTAGAAATCAATTTTACTGCATGCGAATTCAATCTTCTGTCACTAAAAACTTTTTTTAATGAAGGGTTAAAGGAAGGAATGCGGGGGCAAATAAGTTTTAATTTAGACAGAAGCCGTTGGATATCCGTGGATTGGTTCCTTTTTCTTTCTTTAAAGATTTCAAGACTGTGCTAATGCATAAAGATGATCTTTCTATAGACTTTTTTATGCATATGAAGTTGCACGGAAAGGGTTAAATTAAGTCTAGTGAAAAGATGAGAAAAGGTTAAAAAAGTATTTTGTACCACAGATTAAGTGCAGGTTGAAAAAAGTAAGCTAAAGAAAGAAGTATCCGTGCTTCTTTCTTTACCCCTTGGCTGCAATGAATACAAACTGTTGTATCTCAGCACTGTTCGTTAAAAAGGTATTAACTCTATTTTAACTTGCCGTGTTCCGTGGGAGGTAAGAGAAGAGCTGCCGCTGTGCTTGCCAATTGTATGCATGTCATGCCAATCAAAAGCGGACTGTACTTTTATATTACAAAAAGGCACATTATCACTCAAATGTATAAAGCTTTCTCTGGGGGACTTTATGCATGTAAGCTTGTTTGTTGTATCAATTGATCATGGTTATATGCAATGCTAATCATAATTAAAACGTTCTCGCGTGAGTTTAAACAAAAATCATTTCATCCTTTCTCTCTTAACACAAACAGCATTTTGATGGCCATCAGACTTACAAACTTCATCAAATGATCTTTTTCGTCAATTCGACTCAAAAGTGTTAATAGGATGATGGCCTTTGCTCCTCCGCATAAGGAGCATAATTCAATTTTGACAAATATCAAACATTCCAATCCCACCTCCTATCAAATGGATCAAAGTTCACGTAATCATGCTAACGGTTTGATGAATCGTACTAAGTACACAAACAGGGAAACCAAAGATGATCTTCATTCTTCAAGACCAGGCGTCTTTTCACCTCCTCCAAGACCAATACGTTCAAATGTACGTCCAGCAGCAGAAGTACGTGCAACAAGAACGAAAGCAGAAAATGCCCAAAATACTCCCAATATTGATGAAGAACGTGTCGGTGAAGCAATTGTAGAGGAAGATCAAGCTTCAGAAGACGAGGAAGAAGGTGAAAACAAAATCAATCCCGATCAACCCTATTGGACAGAAAGAAGTATGTCTTTAGATGAAGCAAAGTCGTTGGAACAGCAAAAATCTATAAATGCTCTACGAACAAACAGACCTAGGCTTGATAGCGCTCCAAGCGGAACTGGATCTCACTATCGTTCACGCTCTCATTTTAGCATACCGGATATCGCAATCACCTCAGCGGATGAGGAAGGCAATGAAGTGCGATATGAATTGCAACTCGAACAAGCAAAGAGGAGATTGATTCTCTGTCCTTCAAGATCCGGTGAGGATGAAGACTACTCTACAAGCCAAGCTCAAAACAATCCCTCAAAGGAGGATAAGAAACAGAAAGCAAAAGCGCCTGCCACCAATAAAGCTAAAGCACAATTGGCAATGTTCACATTTCCCACATCCGCTTCTTCTGCTACTTCTTCCGGTAAAAAGAAGACAAGTAAAACTTCAAGTGACGCTCGAGCTCCACCTTCCATAAACATCGTCAATGCCGAAGGTCAATCACGTATTTTGGAAGCATCTGAAGCAGCAAAGTATCCCTTGCCATTATCACCTACATCACCGTCTTCTCAGCGAGATTCGATGCAGGAGCAGCAACGTCAAATGATCATGAGTGCAAGCGGCTCCACAGCTACCAAAGAGCAAGTTAATGAATCGGTGTCTGCACCAGTCATGTCAAGTAGCAAATTTGGTAAGCGATTACGAAAATCTTCTTTACCCAACCTTTTTGGAAAGAAGGAAAGGGATGCAGCGCATGCAGCTGCCATGCAGATTATGCCAAGCGATGCAGATCCTGTAGGCATGACTGGAAGCTCAAAAGGAGAGGACAACAGAGATGTGAATGGCCAGCATTACGTTGGAGGAATTCCTGCCATGTCTCATTATAATGCCGAAGTACCGACATCACCAATTTCGCAAGCACCTTCTTCACCTACATCGACGATGGGCAGGCCGTCAAGCACAACATCACTAACCAAAAAAGAAGTTAAGCAACTTCAAAAAGAGGAAAGGAACTTGATCAAAGAATTGGAAAAAGTTGACAAGATGGTAAGAAAGCATGACGAAAAAGCAATCAAAGCACGAAAGAAAGCTGAAGAGAAGCAACGAAAGGAAGAGAAAAAGCAAAAGAAGGATACTGTCAATCATCGTCAAATCAGTGCACCTATCGCAGTCACAGTCATGCCAGCTTCACAAGCACTTCATTCACCTATATCTATTGAAGCTGAAATGAAGGCAGACCGGGTGACCCACAAACCCATCACAACACCATCTCCACTAGAAGAGATTCGCAATTCTTCCTTTGATGAATCATCTTTTCCAAGAGCAAGTCACACGGAGCCAAAATCGGTAGAGCCGCTTTTTATCGAACCGAAAAGAGATCAGGTCACTCAAAATATCAAGAAGAAGAAGCCATCCCTGGATAGCGCAGATACGGAACCCACCTATCAAGATGAAGACACTTATACTCTCGGAGACCAACAGGATCAACAGCTGCCACAATTGTCCAAAGCTGCTCCAAGGATATCCTTATTACCGAACACGGTTGCTTCTCTTTCACTTTTTGATTCTTTGTACAAAGAAGTGGACGCTATGGAATCTTCTTTTGATATGCAATATCCTGTCGAAGCTCAAGAACGTCGTAAAAGCATTGCAAGTTCTTCAGCGCCTCAATCACCCCAATCACCCAAATTTCTTTAAGGAATCATGATGCATAAACACATCCTTTTCTTCCATTGTTCATACCCTGAATGGCTTCCCAGGCACAATTTGTACTTCTTCCTTTTCATATACCCTCCCCTTCATTCTTTTATACCATACGCCTGCATCCCTACCTGGGCACAAGTTGTGCAGAGTACCACATTTACACATAATCATTGAAGTAGGTCAGACATTGCAATGAAATTGCGCAGGCGCTCTTTCTTCCATCATTTATGCGATTCAATAATTTTTTGTTATAATATACAGATTGTTTTGCTTTCATTTACGTTTTACAAGCGGAATAACATCGTCAAATGTTTGACGATCAGAAAACCAAGGTTGTTTAGGTCCTAATTTGGTAGTTGAAGGAGAAGCTTCCTTGCCTGGAGCAGACGAATCCGAGAGAATGGCCTCCATCTCCTCTTTGCTCACGTCTGTCCAATCCGTACTACCCCGCATCCAGTAGGATATCCGTTGCCAGAAACGGGCATAGCGTGAGGTGTTGCTTTTGACAAATTGATCGATCGGTACACCACCAAAAGCTTCGATCGTGTACCAAAACCGACCTTCTCCAACTCTGATTTCGATAGAGTGTTTGTAGTGAGTAGGTATATCGTATCGTTGTACAGTTTTGCTGTTATTGCCTTTATGTCGTACGAAGATTGCTTTTTGCGATCCACTTCCTGAATCGTTTCGAGGACCTGATAAAGGAGAAGCACTTCCACGAACACGATAAACGCTTGCTAATGGAACCACACGTTCGTTATTGAAAGGTGTTAGATAGAAACCTCGTAATTCGGCAGTCTTTCGAAGGGCGGTAGGATAAATTGCACGAGGTGGAAGGGCTGAAAATCCACGAACGGCAGTACGTAAGATCAATTGACGCTTTGGCAAATCGAGAGTTAAGCGAGTAATGTTTGAGCTGGGAACCATGAAAAAGAGAGAAGCCGTTATCAGACCAATCGTTCCAGCCAAGACAGCTCCAACAGTTCGTTTCTTTTCAGAAACAAGTTCAGGTTTACGATTCGGATCTTTTGAGAACAAAGGCCAGCAAAAGTGATTATAAACATCATAAGCCAATTCAACTCCAATCACCATAAATGTACCACCGATGAAGTAATAGATCCAAGGTTTCATTGCCGGTGGACCTCGATAAAGGACTACTTTTCCATTCTTATCTGTGATCACATTTTTGTCTGTTGTTCCTTGTAATGCATTTGAACGTGAGAAGCGGACTTGAGAAGGCCTGGGCAAAGCCCTGAATATCGACTTGGAAGCGAACAAGCCTCTTTGATTGATAAAGTTCATCAAAACGTCATTCAAATCCAATGATGAAGGAAAGAGTCAAGCATAAATTTTAATTTTTTGGTGACTTTCTTCTTCTTGCATAAAGTCACGCTACGCTAATAGAACACGGCGAATGCGTACGCGTGCGTGCGTAGCCTAACATTCATTCATTGTCGGCCAACTTGGTTACTGATTCCTCTGGATGACCATGATGAGAACCGTTCACAATAATGTTGGCTTGAAAAGCATGTCATACCGTATCTGCTGCTCCCATTGCAAATGCATCGATGGCTCACTTGGCTGGCCATGTCAATAACGGTAAGTGCAGCCACAAAAAGTTGAAACGGCTCCTGGCGAAAATTCTCACCTTCTAAATATTTGACACCTTCAGAGCGAAAACGATGCCGCAGAGGTTTCAACGGACGGACAAGAGAGCAGGGTGCAGTCACTTCCTACTCCGCCGTCATTTTTCTCTCCTCGTTCCGCCGTTATCATCCTCTCCTTACTCCGCAATCATCATCATCCTCTTCCCATTTCACAATCACCACCCTCTTCTCACTCCACCCTTGCTCACTCCTCCCTCTTCTCACTCTGCAATCATCACCCTCTAGGTGTTTGTGTTTGGAGGAGGGTCTTTTTGGAGGAGGGTCTTTGGGAAGTTGCGAGACGAAACGTTTGGCTCATCTTGCTCCCGTCATGTCAACAAGTCGGACAGGATGGACGCTTCTTTAATGAAGTGTATTTGATCCGTCATCCAAAGAGGTATGCGCTCAAGACCGATGCTTCTTCGACTGCCAGTGATCGCTTGCAAGAGCGCCGTGAATGCGAGTGCATAGCCATCCTCGAATGAAGAATTTTGCCCGACTTGATCGACCTCACTTCCACCCAACATAAGATGACGGACTTTTCCGGTAATGTTGAACGGATGCGAAGCCAAAGAGTGTGAGGTGGACCATAAGAAGGAGGGCAGAGGAAAGCCAACTGTTGATGTCAAGTGTTTCTCCCTCTACCCTTCCTCCTCCTTCCCTTCCACCCCACCTTCCGCCCTTCCTCCCCACCTTCCGCCCTTCCCCCCACCTTCCTCCCTTCCTCCCCACCTTCTTCCCTTCCGCCCCACCTTCGTCCCTTCCTTCCCACCTTTCCACCTTCTGCCCTTCCTTCCCACCTTCTGCCCTTCTCCTTCTCAGGACCCTCAGTCTGGATCCATTCACCGTTCTCCTTCTTCTCCAGAGACTGCCAGTGTTTGCTTGTAAGGGCCCGATGGATGCGAGTGCAGAGACGTCATGAATGAAGGACCTTTGACCGGCTTGATCCACCTCACTTCGAAAAAAACCAATGATGATGGACTTCTTCGGTAATGTTGAACGGATGTCAAGCCAAAGAGTGTGAGGTGAAAGCATGGAAAAGAGGGCAGAGGAAGGACAAATGTTGATATCAAGTGTGCCATTTCTTCTGTTGTCCCACTTGCTCGAATGCCATGTCATGATTCGATCTTGAGTGACTTACGAGATGACTTGTCATGAATCTTGAAAGGTTTCATCCGATCGGAAGAAGAAGATCTTGGCTGATTTGCGTCCCATTCAAGCGTTTGTACTTGCGAGCTCTCTCCATGAAGTGATGCGGGTCGTATTTGTGTTGATTGCCACGATCAATGTTGCGTGATGACTTGAAAAGAGGAGTTTGTGATGCTGATTGTACGATAGGTGGATCTCGAATGAGAAAGAAAGATGTCGGTTGGATGAGATGTCATCTATAAATGAGATGTGGATGATTCCTTTTGAATGAGGAGTGAGGCTCGAATGACAAGAGATTGATGCCGGTTGCATGAGGTGTAATCATCGAATGAGAAGGATGATGCCGCTTGAAAAAGCTATGATCCACAAATGGGAAGTAGAAGATGCCGGTTGAGTGAGAACGCATATGAGATGGCGTTCATTCAATTTTCAAAGGATTCACCGGTGCATCAATGGAAGACCTTGCTTGGTTAGGGATGCATGCCGGCGTTTGCACTTGCAAGGCTTTTTTTGTGAAGTGAAGTGATGCCATGTTTGCTTGTATTTGAGTGCCACAATCATTGTCTTGTGAATAAATTGGTGATGCTGACTGAATGACTGGTGCATCTTGAATGTCAAGTGGATGACGATTGGAATGAGAAGTGGATGACGGTTGCGGGATGTGAAGTGGATGACGATTGCAGGATATGAAGTGGATGAAGGTTGCGGGATGAGAAGTGAGTGTTGGTGGTAGAGATAGTATGGAATGAGAAGTAGGTAATGCTGGCTGGATATGAAGTGATTCTCAAATGAGAAGTAGATCTTTTCTTTGTTTTTTTT